ATAGTCACCAGGATTACGAAATTCAACCAAGGCTTAGTACGTTATGCATCTAGGTTTTTCCACAGTACGAAGCGAAACGCTGCCGAAATCGTCAGTCGCCCATTTGCATCATGTGAGTATATAGTCCCTTTCATGAACATGATTTTAACATAAGTATTAATTAAAGTATAAAATATATGTTAGAAATTTTATGTGTGAGCTATATACTTATTTCTTGGATTATGTGTTAGGATATATAACATGCTATGTGCTAGCTAGATATGGTTATATTTTTATGTTATGATAAATAGATAATATTATATAATAATATTCAAAGTAGAAGTGTTGAGAAGATAAATGATTAATAATACCTATTACTCTTATGAAATAGATATACACTAAGATATGTTAGTGTCATCCAAGAATGGAGTTGGTATTAAAAGTTGGTTATAAGCATTGTAATCTAGTCTAGGGATAAACTTAGACTGATGGAGGATACCTAGCTCAATTAAGTTTGATATTAGGTATCTCATTAGGAGAATGTGCGTAACCTAGGAACGGAGATTAAAGTTTTGTTCCATGACACTATCAGGTGTTGATGTACGATAGCTCCATACAGGATAACCAGAAATGGTGGGTCCCGATAAGGCAACTTTTAGCGTTATGTCTGGTAACCCCACAGAGTATGTGACAACACTTGATCATTCTAGACGGTCTTGTGAATTATGTTATGTAACATACACGTTCAATTATCGTGTATTGTAAATTATAAAAGTGAATAATATTACGAAATATTATGTGAATTTGAATGTTGAGTTCTAACAGATGGTTTTTACTAGAAATGAAGTAAAACTATGCTTAGAATCGTTCAGAAAGTATTGGAAGTCTTATGAGATTTCAATCAAATGTCAAATGGTAAAATTTAACGAAAATATAAAATTTGAAATAAGTAAAATTTTATTATTGAAAGTTGTAGATAATCTCGTTAGAAAACATTTAGGCGGAAACCTCATCGAAATCCGAGTTATAACAAAGAAGTTATGACCAATCGAAGATCCGCGACAAAACCGGCACGACGCCAGATGACGTAAAAAGTGAGTTTTTGATAAACTACTTTTTAGCCTTAGTAATCTAAATAAAAATCGTAGTATTCGTTAAACCGAGAAGTTCGATAAAAAGAACGCCAAAATCTGACTTCGTATGAGGAAGTTATGATTTTTCTAAGTTTCAGCTTAGCAGTAGACAGCTAAAAACTCGAATTTTAGATCGAGTGATTTTTAGCCGACATAACCTAAACGAGAATTGAAGATCTCGTCAATATTAGTACAACGGTAAAAAGTCTGACGAAAACGGATGTCGGATGAAGAAGTTATGAATTTTTAACGGATTTTCCAGTCTCGGTCTGTTAAAAATAATAATATTAAAAATAAAGTCAAAATTAGCCGAAGAAGTCTAAACGAAAGTTGTAGAATATATTCCCGCCTACGCGTGCATATAAAGAACGTAAAAAACGGAGCCCGTATGTGAACGTTATGGATTTTAGAAGATTTGGGCACAATTTCCGAGGAATCTCGCAAGGATAAGGCCAATCTCGGTGAGTCACCCGCTGAATCCGACGCGTGTCGCTTGCTGATTTGACCGAGGATGTGGTCCAATGGCCTTCCGACGCGCCTCGCTTCTGACTTCGCCTCGTGTCCGAAGTGTTGGACCAATCCGAAGCCGGCACGCACCCATCTCACATCCGAGCCTCGCCCTTCTGCCATGTGTTCCGAACCTCGCAGCCAGCTGCCTCCCCTCCGGATCCGAGCCTCGCATCTGCTGACGCGTGGAGTCCTCTTAGCCGCTGATCTTCGGACTTCGCCCCTATAAATACAAGGCCTGCGAGCCTTCTGGGGTAATTTTGAGAAATTGCCATTTTACACCCCTTTTTCAATATTTTCACTATTTTGACATCCCCCGAAGCCCCGGTATCAATTTTAGCACCCGAATGACGTCCCGAAGTTCCCGAGAAGCCCGAAAAATTTATCTTTTCGGTTTTGAAGCTCTACCTTCGCAGAGCCCGGTTTTCAATAAATCTTCCGGTTTTCAACGAAGGACGTTATATTTAGAGCCGAAGTGCTGCCCAATTTACTATTTTAGCCCCCGGTTATTTCACGGTGAGTTTAATATATAGGAACAATTGTATGTTATGTGTTATATGTGTTGTGTGCTTTTCAGTGTTATTATTCCGGGTTATTTTCCCGTGTTATTTTTATTCCTACTATATATGATAGCAAAGCTATACCTTTGACCATGTGATCAGTGAAAGGACTTAGATTCACGGTGGTACTGGTACGTAGCCTCTGGCCATGTAGAGCATGTCTCCGTAAGAGAATGATTTTTATTCTATGGCATTGGCAAATGGTTAGACAGGGTTATAAGCCTGAAATCTACCGATATGTTTAAATCAGAAAGTGTATGTCTTCCGTGCCATTTGGGCCGAAGCTTTATTGATCGTATATCTTCGTATCAAATCATTGATTGATATTAAAAGTTTGTCACATGATTCACATATGCCTTTGTTGTTTCTTGTTCCTCTTTGCTTCTGCCGTATTGAAGTATATATGGCATAACATTATATTGGATCTATTATTGAACTCACTAAGCGTCTCCGCTTACCCCTCTCAATGTTTAACAATTGCAGGCAATAAGCAACCAGTATAGTTATTTACTGATAGAAGATTTTGAATAGTTTGAAACTATTGTATAAAGTAATCATGTATGTATAACTTATAGTATCCTGGGAAGTTATGTAACATATAAAAATTTGTAGTAGTCGGTTTGTATCCAGTCTTATGTAAACAAGTTATCAATGTAAAATATTATTTTTATGAATATGCAAGTAGCATGTTTTGGAGTAACAATTATCAAGTAAGAAAGTTTGGGTCTTTCAGAAATATGAAAGTTTAGAAAGGGGTTCTTTCACGTTACTAGTGTGAGCTCATTAATCAAAGACGTAGATGAATAGGAAAACCATATTCATCAAATACTCTAACGGCTCATATGCCTTTATGACTTACACCGGCAAAGGAAGCCCCTAGATGTGTAGTCACTCTTAACGATTCATCAGGCAAGATAATTTTTCTTTTATAACTGTTGTCTAAGATCTGTGAGGATCGATAGAAATAGATAGTCTGGGATCTGTGAGGATTGGTAGGAATAGATATGTAGGAATGTAAGCCTATATTGGTATTCTTTGGTAACGGTTGGTTTGCAGGTCTGATAATTATGAAATATTAGCATATCAATATCGTGAGATTGAAATCCTTATTTATCTCACCAGGTTTCTCCAACCTGACTCACTCAACTCATATGTATCACAAGTATCAAGACTTAGGCCACTGGAACTTGTTTAGGATGTTGAGTGATTAAGAGACAGTCTGCAATAGTATTCAGGACCATAAGGTCTTTACGCTCTAACTTATGTATATGTATTGATTATGACATCCTTAGGGTTTTAACATTTTGGAAAAAAAATTTGTAATCAAAATGATCTTTTATACTGAGATTTTCCACAAATAAATGATTTTTAAAACGTAAAGAAAAACTTTATTTGGCTCTGAAAATTAGAAAATGTCACACATAGACACGTTTGTGATTAATTTTATAAGTACAAGCTCAAGCCCGAATTAACTTTCGGGTTTAAAGCATTTAGTCACCCAAAAAAAGTGATTATGTAGTTTATGCATAATTTATATGTCCGTTATTGTCAAACATGTTTAAGAGTTTGAATTGTTGGTAAATTTCAAATCTTGAGTTTTTGGGTCAGATTGCAAGTCGTGTTTAAGGATTTTATTAACTTAACCAAACAACCTAATTAAATTACGAAAAAATTATCTCAATATATCATATGTCTTAGGTTTGCAAATATATTTTTCTCTATATTTTCCAGTAAGTACAAAAATCCTGAAAAATCAATGAACCTAAGGTCACAAAAGTTGTTTTCAATACACAGCAAAAATGTTTTAGCTCGATTGACTATCAAATCCTCAACAAAATCAAGCAAGGCCGATTGGATTCGTTTCCTAATTCATAAAATAAGTTTCTGGAAGTGGAATCAAGTTGTTAGGATCAAAATTGAGCAAGTTATGACCTTGAGAAGACAGGCCAATAATTCAGCCGGAAAAAATCAGTTTTGACATATTAACTTGTAAGTGATTTTTAGGGTTCAAATCTTACTGAAAAATTAGGAAACTTTTTGGTTGGATAATAACTCATTGCGTTAATTTTTTGCTCAAGAATCGGTCAAAACGCTTGAGTGTGGACCGATTTATGACCCTTAGAAGTTGGTACAAATTTTCTACTCACAAACTGATAGAAATGCTTATAAGTTCTAGTTATTTAATTTGCTCTAAATTTCTAGGTTTTCATGGATGAATACCTATCATGAGCCTACTACAAATATTATAAGGTATTTATATAAGAACAGTTACATTGAATCTTGAGCTTTTGATGAAAAAAAATGGAGGATTGGTGGTAGCTTTGTTGGTAGCTTTGTTGGTGTCGTGAGTCTGTAAGAAAGAGAAGAGAGAGTTTTGATTTAATGGTACGTAGAATGGTTTGTTAAAAAAACACATTTATACATTCAAATATTTGGTGGTAGTTTTGTTGGTGTCGTGAGTTTGTAATATCTAGATCATTATATCACATTAATTTATTATTGAATAAATATACTACATATTGAAAAAACACATTTATACATTCAAATATTTGGTGAATTAAGTTAAACATTTTAAACATATTTCTACTTTGTAACGTCTAAACTATCTAAATATTCCATAAACTAAGTTAAATTAAATATATTTTATTATTAAATTACTATATATCTTAAGAAGTATCTATTAATTGAACTATATACTATTATATTAGTTAATATTTTCTTGTATAAAACGTTTTGATATGTTGAGAAATTAAAATATCCTTGATAAAACAAAATTCCAAATGAATTACAGGCAACCATGCATGTTGTACCTAAACCTATCCTATCTGCTCAAAGAAAGCTCGAAGGCAGTTCCTGCATGATTCACGGAAAGCATGATCATATCCTTAGAAAAGTTTCCATCTGGGATCTTCATCTCTATCGAAAGAGTACATGGCAAGAGGAGATTCTGATCATTCTTGTTACTGATAGAGAGTTTGATTGCAGAATCTGAAACCTCAGTTTTCTTGCCGAGTAATTCATGGGGTAACAAGTTCTTCTCACCGCATCTTGATTGACACCTTTCCCCGAATTCTTCTGTGATGGTTTTGTCTTTCTTTGGACTATTATCATGTTTAATTGCACCACCGGAGAACCTGCTGTCGCCGCTTGATTCACACAGTTGATGCGGCAACATGATTTCTTCACTATCGGAAAACCAGCTGCTGTCGACTGATTCACACGGTTGATGAGGCAACAGGGTTTCTTCTCGTGCAATACGACTCCCATTCCCGCCAAAAAATTCATGAGGCAACATGAGGTTTTTGTCTTTCTTTTGACTAACTGGGGGATTGATTGCATGGCCACCTTCGGAAAACCTGCTGATGCCGGTTGATTTACAGAGTTGGTGTGGCAACAAGACTTGGCCGGCGGAAGCCATCCCGCCGTGTGTTGAGCGACAATATTCGTGTGGCAGTCGAAGGCCTTCTTGCATAGAACACGTTCTGGTTTTGGCTTTGATCACCCCGGCATCACCGTCGTTGAAGTTACTGTCCATCAATTTGGCTATGAAAGATCAGATCGTTGCGAAGGTTTACGTAGTGGAGACGATTGCTTGTGGAAGAAGAGGTGCGAGGGAGGGGGTACATATATTGTGCTGGTGGTGGTGTTTGAATGTAAAGATTTTCTCTAGAAAAGGCAACTTTCCTTTTATCACACAATCACCCAACTAAACTCAAATAGTCTCCACGATATATACGGAGGTCGCTTTCACAAATCCGCATAAAATATAAAACCGTTTAATAGTATTTGTTTATGTATGATTTTTATTTAAAAAAATGTTGGAAATTATATCTATTTTTTAAACTATTAATTTTGGTTTAACCATTTAGCAGTTGTGTTTTACATTTTGTTTTTCAGATATTTCTTACTTTTTTTTATTTTGTTCCAGAAAATATAAGTATTTTGTTTTGGGTTTTTAAAACATACGATATTTTCCTAGTTGAGAAAATATTTTATCTCAGATATATATCTCATGAAATAGAGTTTTCTACGTGATAATAGTGGTTACGAAAACATTTTAGTTTTTTTAAAAACTATTTTGAAATAATTATTTTTATAATTCATAATTTTTCTAAAAAACTGCAAAGACCACTTTATTGGAGTCACCTTGTACCCAAAACCCATTGTCATCCCTTATCGCCTTACAAGCGTTTAAATTCAATCTAATACATTGTTTAAATTAGGGATGTAACTGCATCGAGCCAACTTATAAGATACTCGAGACCGTCTCGAAAAATACTTGAAATCGATCCGGTTCAAATCAAATCGAACTCGAGCTCCAGCTACTCGAGTATATTATCGAGTCGAGCTTGAGTATTGAAATACCCTGGTCATGAAGCTCGTGAGTTTAATCGAGCTTAGTTATATTTATAATTTTACCCTTTATTTTATTCATATTTTACATACTCGAGCTGAGTCGAGTCGACCTCACAAGCTTAGTCGTATTTTTATTTCAATTTAATTTAATTTTATCTTTTAATAATCAATCAAGTCGTGTCGAGCTTGAAAGTGTCGATTACTTTATCAAGCTCGAGCCCAAGTTTGAAATTGGGGCTCGAGTCGAGTTTCAAATCCTAGTTTTTTAGTCGAGTCGGGTTTCGAGCTTGACAGTACTTGACACGGTTCAGCTCGATTACACTCCTGGTTTAAATTCAATTTAATACACCATATGTATCCGATTTGAGTTCTAGTCAATTACGTATTCATTCTAATGAAGCCTCTTTATTACCTTGAATTGAACAACACGTTACATTATGTAATTGATAATCGTTGGTATAACTTGATCTCGATAGGTATAAAGCCTAGGTAGAATCATGACGATAGTGAATAAGAAGATGATTTGGATGTGGGAATCGACGATCAGTGAAGAAGATTTAGGAATCGATAGGGTTTATCACACCATTGGGTGACACATTGTATTGCATAATTTGATAAGAAACCAAGGTTAATGCAAAGCAAAAGGTCATCCAACTTGAACTTTTACACAATTCATAACATATAATGTCGTAATAAAACAACTAGCATTGCATTTTCTAGGGAAATTAGTAATTTGCAACATGCAAGAGATTGTACATTTCAAAAGGACGAGTATTAGAGAAAATACGCATAAATAAGACATGGTCATTTATCCTAGCAAAGAGGATGGTGGAGATGATGACAACATGAGTTAACTGGTTGTGGGTTTTTTACTTCGGGATAAAAGAACCATAGAGGAGGAGTGATGGAAGGAGTGAATGATATTTTCATATTTATTCATATATTTTGTGTATTATCTTAATATTATTAGCTATAATTGTGCTTATTTTAGGACAAAATGTGCTTAATATGTTTAAAATTTATTTTGTAGCAGCAAAGGCATGCTCGAGATTAAAAGGAAGCAAATGCAGGGCTGGAAGCGGGAAATTTGGACCAGATCGACTTAAGTCAAAAATTCATAAAAGTTGGAGTGCCACGATATAGTGATTTACCTACCACATCATTATGAGATGGATTTCTGCGATCAACAGGTGCCTTGGAGAATACGCGTTTTTAATGATCGCCATGCTGTGGAGCCTTATTGCCATGGCGTGGGAAGCGGATTTTGGAAAGTATAAATATATCATTTTGGCCCTCATCCCTAAATTATGTTGGAAACTATTGTCGACTTTTGAAGACCAGAGACATCCCTTGGAGGCTGTGGAGTGCAGAATTCGATTAAGAGCTTGATTTTAAGGAGATCTAAAGGCAACACTACTTCTAATTACTTCATTGCTTTGTTTTAATCATGTCTATCAAAGTGATTTTCATTTTTACTTGTGTTTTTTTAGTAGTTATGGGCTAAAAACCCTAACTTTCATTTAGAGTAGATGATCTTACATACTATGTGTTGATTTGGTGGATTTGGATTATTACTAGTTGTTTATTTATTATGGTTGCTTGTTAAAGAACCTTCTATGTTAATGAAAATTTATTTTATGTTTATTGTTGAGTTTCATTGAGATTAGATGAACTATCTATCTTAGTTGGCTTGAATCTCATGATTTTGTGAGTAACAAGGTTATACGACTAGTGTTTTGACCAAAAACCTAGGGTTAAATAGAAAAGTTGGTAAACTAATATGAAAGCTAATATATGAAGAACAATCATGTATTGAATTGATATTTATAACCATTTATATCATTCATAATTATAGGTCTTGCATAATTCAAACTTTACACTAGTTTACTTGTTTATTTATCCACTTGATCACTGAATGAATGAACTTGTTTTGCTAAGGATTAGTCTTGTGATCATAATTCTAATCAATATAAGAACCGGTAAGCGACAACACTCTAATCCATTGCACTTTTCATGAAATCAACCATAGGAGTAAATGAGTCGTATCTCAACGAAAGTCTCTTTAATATCTTGATTCAAAACCATTTTCTTGTTTCTTATTTAGTTTAAATTACTTCTTTGTTAATTGCTTTAAATTTTCTAGACTTGCAAAACTAGAAAAACCTCTCTTTTATTTGCTCAATTTACTTAGATAATTTTAGTAGGTATTTTAGTTGTTATTTTCGTTCTCTATGTTAGATACCCAACTTACCTGAACTATCATATTATTCAATTAGGTGCACTGCCTATTGTGTACCGGTTAGTCTAGATTAGTTGGTTTTTAAACTAGTATATAATTTATGTATCAAGTTTTTAGCGTCGTTGCCGGGGAACGGCTTAATCATAGTTAATTTTATCGGTTATTTGTTTCGATCCGATGTGAGGAATTTATTTCATATAAAATTAAAAAAAAAATCCGTTTTATTTTTCCTGTTTTTAATATATATTTTTTTATTTCTACAGTGAGCACGCCGTGGCAATTCTTGACCACGTTGTGGAGACTGTTCAGACAATCTTAATTTTTATCTTTTTTAATGTGTTTGTTTTCTGTTTTGTTGCAGTTAGTATATGACCTGTGCATCTTCATCTAATACAGTACCTGGTTTGAAGGATCCTGAGTCTATTTTTTGCAAAAGCAACAAGGAAAGGAGAAAAGAAAAAAGACGAGCCAAAGGAAGAAGTAAAACCGAACGAATAAGAGAGTGAACACACGATCAAATCAGAATTTGAAAGGGAAAGCGAACCAGAAGACGAGATGGTCGACATAGTGGAGATGACCGGGTCGGGTCTTGTGCAACCCGAAATTCTAACCGCCACCAACTTCGAGCTTAAGGGGCACATTCTCGCTATGCTAAAAGATATCCCATTTTACGTGAAGGATCACGAGGATGCCTACAAGCATATTGATGTGGTGAACGACATTGCGAACTACTTCAATGTTCCTAATGTTACACGGGAAACTGTAGAAGTTATTAATCGAGTATTGGAATTAAAATCAGAGTAAACAAGTAAAGAACACGAGATCTAAATAGAATCTAGTTTAGCTCATATTACTTTCAAAGTTTTACAAAGAAAATATCAGACAGAGGACTCAGGAAAAAATCATGTCTAACTCTAAGTAAACACTCCTATTTATAGGAGGACTGAAAGTACAAAAAATACTAAGGACTAAACATTCGACTTCGTTACAAAGATGCCTTAGTAAATATGTAACAAAACTAACGAAACAAGCATTACATAGACTTCGACATATTACAATACATTTTCGACCTTACAATCTCCCCATTTGTAATAATGTCGAACTTCTCAATTAGAGAGAATATGTGCAGCAAAATGCATCATTCTACGAATCTTCATATACCAGCTCACAACCTTCTTTATCTCTGCTTTATCACCATTATTATTCTTTTTGCAGTTATTCATACGAACCATGAAGTTCGTATATTGAGTTGTAGTATACCTCTCCACTTCATTTGCTTGAAACAAAAATCTTTTAGCTTTCCCATTCTTATCTTTTCCCGAAAATACCAATCCCAATGGCTTTAAGCATATATCCCCATCAGAATATTTCTTCAGTTCAGCTTGAGTCTTCGTCACTTCCATAGCCACTTTCACTTCCTTCCCAAGTGCAGCTGATAATTCGACATCAGTCAAAGCTAGACAATCATAGTAATTGTCTATGAAGATTTTGATGTGACCAAGACCTAGTCTCAAAACTTCTTTATCAGTTCCTTGAAGTTGCGAAGCATCCATGTCTTTCAAAATTAGGGCAACTTGAATAATATCATTCAAGTTCATAAGAGGGAAATCAGCAACTGAGAAATCACAAGAAACGTTGTTTGCTCTAACAACATGATAACGAAAGTTCTGTATCATGCTCTCAAACATCACATCTTTTGTAATACTTAACACCCTTGTGATCTTGATGAGTGACCAAACTTCATCTTGTTCCTTTCCAACAACAGCATGAAACCTAAGTTTTCATATGAAGAAAGTCATCTTCATTCTTGAACTTCTCTATCACCTTATACTGAGCTGTTATGAACATTTTGTTAACTGGAAAATCAAGTTGATTCATATCGGAATTTTCGATAGAATAACTCTTTCTTGGTTTCTTCTCGAATGCATACATATTATTGTATGACACTCTGGCTTTGATGTTTTCGTAACTGTGCAACTTCTTAGGATCTCCCTTATCCATGTGTGGTGGATCATTCTCACGAAGCCTCAGTATGCTTTGGATTTGCCTCTGTTTCTCCATTTCAGCATCTATCTCAGCCTTTTTCTCTTCCTTTGATTTTTCAACCAAAATTTGTTTCCCTTTATCTTTTTCAGCTTCTGAAGTCTTTGGCTTTGAAGAACTTGAACTCCCTCCTTCAGTTGTTGAACCAATCACAATTCCTTTTACTATAGGTCTTGTTGTTGTTTTGATGGCTTGTGTTGTATTGACTTTCGGAACTATTGGAGTTGAAATTTGAGTCGACACTACCTTTGTTAAAACTTGAGTAGGCATCACTTTTTCGACAATTTTAGGCTTATCTTCTCCTCCTTTAGAAACTTTCGAAGTTTTACCCACTTGAACTTTCTTCACTTTTTCTCCCCCTTGCACCCCTGTGACAGCAGGTGGGGCACCAATAGGTAACATATTAGCAAACTTCGAAATCGGAGCAACAGCCTTCTGAATAGCTTGATCCAGAACATGTAACTTCTGAGTTAAAAACTCAGGAGTTAAGAACGAAGTTGGAGCAGGTTTGGACACTAATTCTTTCAGTTCACCAAGTAAAGCTCCCATCTTGTTGAAATTTTGAACATCTTCATTAGCCTTCGCTTCAAACTTAGGAGTTAAGGATTGATACCATTCGACAACCTTTGTGACTGCAGCCGCTATGGTGTCAACATTCGACTTAATTATTGAATAGTTTGAGTTCAGCTCATTTATCCCTTTTGAGACTTCAACCTTCATCTCTTCAAGTTTTCGATTGACATCTTCTCGTACGGTCTTGACATCTTTAACAAAAAGAACATGACGTTCTTTTGCTACCATACGAAGATCTTTGATTTCAGAGTTAACCGAATCAGCCTGAGCCTTGACCCTCAACTCGCTATTTTTATCAACAATGTCCAATTGTCTCTGCATTCTGAGCTCCACTACCTTCAGCATAACATCAACTTCTATTCCCGAAACTGAGTTCTTTGCTCCGGAATCAACTTGTGATTGTAGAATAGAGTTAAGTTTTCTTTTCAGAATTTTAAATTGCTTACCAGACATCAACATGTGATCTGGTATATCCTCTTCTTCTTAATCAAATGGTAAATCATCAAACGTTCCTCCGAAACCTCCTCCATCTGTGTCATCATCGGAATTGGGTTTTGGTGGATTGAGATTGAAAAAGAGTGGTAATTGGTTGTTGTAGAATCTGATCGAATGTAGGTGAGGTGGTGACTGTTTGAGCTTGAGTAACAAAAGGTGGAAGTAAAACATCTACAGTTGAAATAGGTTCAAAAAGAGATGGATTGGGAATACCTTGAATAATCAGTGATTGTGATTCTTCAACACTCATATTAACAATTGCACCTGTATCGGATACGTTTGCAACAATGTTAGAAATTGGAACCTCCTCAGTAATTGATTTGGTAAGAACAATTTCGAGTGGACTTGTTGTTGTTGGTGGTGGAATTATGGTAGTGGTTTATGGTAATGATAGGTTTGGAGAATTCGATCCCAGTGGTGCGTCTGGGACAATTTCACTATCAGAGGATTCTTCACGAACAACCAACTTCCTTTTCTTTCTCTTTTCGACAATATGCTTTGCCACACCCTCAGCTCTTCTTTTCTTCGAGGATGGTGATACCGGAGTTGGTATATCACGAACAATTACCCCTCTGCTGTTTATCTGTGTCTTTCGAACAGTTGGTGATTGATCATCAGAAGAGTTTCGTGATTTGTGAGACATCTTCCTTAAACGCTTAAAAACTCCTGATTTCGAAGGGATTAACTCCTTCAAAGACTCAGTAATCACCTTCTCCTTAGGCTTCTTAATTTTCTTCGAAACTTTCTCCTGTTCAACAATGACCTTCTTAGGAGACTTAGACTTAACTTTCTTTAGACTTTCTTGAACAATAACTTCATCAGTAGCCTTCTTGGACTTCTTAGGCTTCTTTGATGATCCTTCATTACTGCTTTGTAACAATACACCAGTTTCAATTGAAGGATTTACATTCTTCAAATAAGCCACCAAGACAGAGTTTGATGGATCAATCTTCTTAAGCATACCATCTGTAATCCTAGCAACATTTGGGAAAACCTCCAAATCATCTTCCACTGATTTCAGAAAGTGATACTTCATAAATTCTGCTTTAGCTTCATCACTAGTCCGACTGTCGGCTAAATCATAATTATACATGCTAAATATATACATGAGTATTAAAACTCATTTCAAAAACATACTTAACTCATTTGTATATGCTGAGAAAATGGATCTTTTCTCCAAATCATTTACAGTTCGAACAAACATACTAGTAAACTATAATAGGTATAGTTTAGAGAATCAATTCATACTATTTTCTAGATCATAGAAACATTATATGAATCAATACATACATACTATTACTATTTATTTACAAGAACAAGAAGGCACATACATACTATACGCAAAGAAGTTAACTAGAATGTGAAATACTACTTCATGAAACATAGCAAAATCCTTGCTAAGTCATGTTTTATAACCAGAGTCTCGTGGAGGGAGAGCGTGAATTTGTGTATAGATCTATACGGGACTGACAATCCCGCACCTTAGTTGTTAGCTACAGTTGGGACCAGCAGGTCTACGGGTGACACATGTCATATTTTTTTCGACGCCTGAAGGACGTCGTGTATATACTAGTCAATTAAGTATGGTTATAACCTCATTCACATTAAACATTAACTAAACAATTCGGTTTACAAGACAAACATTTCTTTAGTTGTTTTATTTTAAGCAAAACTACTTAAAGATATTATCTTCCATTACATACATACAGTAATGTTCTTACATGAACAAGTATACTATTTTTCTAGTAAAGATAGTCTACAATTATGGAAAACTTACATTTTACACTATTTCAAGAGAACAAAACATACAAACAGTTGGGTCTTGGGTAAAAGACTACTTTTCATTTCAAGTAGAAAATATAAGATTTTCTGGGAAGTATACTAACATTTTCATGAAACAATTACAAACATTAGACACTAAATACTTATGAACTCACTAACTTAAATGTTGATACTCTCTTTTCAAAATAACTTGTATTCTCAGGTAACCAGTAGACAGGTATACTAGCACAGGTTTTGAGAAGACGGAGCATGTTCAAGACTCGTCTTTTATTTTGCTATACATTATGGTGTCATACAACTATACAAAGAACACACATGTATTAACTATATTATTAATGCAATGGATGTTGTTGCTTGTTTTACTATTGTGCATTATTATGATACTATACATGACGTCCTCCACCCCCGAATGTTTCCGCCATCTCGGTTTGGGGTGTGACAATCAGCCGCCACCTTATACCCCCATCCTCCCTCTGCCACAGCAACCTAGCTGCCGATAAGCGCCACCTCATCGTTGTTGCTAGAGACATAAGAGAAGTTGGAAGCCGTTGAGAGAAACGAGGGAGGTTGTGATTGTCGTTGCCGCCAATGGAAGCCGTCAGCTATCCAGTTTCTTCGTGACTTCCATCACCGGCAAGGACCACGAACAGTCACCGTCGACGAAGACGAGGAGCCACCTCTTCCGCCGTGATTCATTCGTGGTGAAACAGAAGACCAACGACTTCAGGGGATGTTGTAGACCATGGTCGAGTCGCTATGCCTCCATTTCCGCGAAGACGAGGCCGTCGCCGATGAGCGCCACCTCCTTTCAATGTTACATCGCCACCCTTTCACACTCATTACCGTCATTAGCCGCTGCTGGCACCTTCTTGTGTCTCTACCGTTCGTTGAACGCCACCAGGTGGGTGGCTACTTTTGGATTCCGAGCAAAATGCATGGTGGTCGTTATCCTAATCTGCCGCCACTAGCCACTGTGAAAGGTGGCTGTGTGTGTGCTTTGGTGTGTTATGTTTATTTCTGCAGTGAAGTGTGTGTGTCGTGGGTGGAATTGCTTGGCCGAAAATCGTGAGAAAAGCCACCACCACCGCCGTGAGGTGGTGGCTGCCACCATCTACCACCGCCGGCCACCACAAGGGTGGCTGTGTGTGTGTGTGTTTATCTATTTGTGTGTGTGTGTTTATTTTTGGGTTAAAGCATTGTAAATTGTAATTAGTGACTAGAATAATAAAGAAAACTCATAACCACCACCGTGAGGTGGTGGCTGCCGCCACCATCCGCCGTATTGGGTGGCGGTGTGCTTGTTTGTGTTTGGATTTCGTTTGGGATGCTTGGAAATTTTCTAGCCAAAAATGATAACCACCACCACGAGGTGGTGGCCGCCACCGTGAGCCGCCGTTGACCACCACTACCTGAGGTGGTAGTGGGTGGTGCCTGACTTGTTTAACCCTAATTGGCCCAATAAAACCATAATTTACCTAAAAGCCCAACCATGTGACTAATGGGCTAGTATTTGGGTTGGAAACCATAATTAGGGTTTGGAAAACCCTAATGTCATGAAACCATAATTTTGGGGATTTGATCGGGACCCGTACTGGAATTATTTAATAAACTTAAATTATTAATTAATAATTATTTGCAAATTAACCTAAGGCAATATTAAACTTAATGGATTAAGTCCTTAATAGGTTAAGTTGGAACACTTAACCCTAATCGTCATTTCATGTGAAAACTCTAATTTCACTTGGGCCTTCCTATTGGGCTTTGGTGATTGGACTATTGATGGGCTATCCAAGAACAAGTAAATGGACCAAAATAATTGGATGGGTTTAGGATAAGGCCCATTTGAAGGACTTTGGCCCAATTTAAAAAATTGGGCCATAGGTGGGCCATAATTAGGCCTTGATGATTATGTGATATTGGGTCATGGGAATACCAAGAGTTTGGACTAGAATAATTGGATGGGCCTTAAGAAAAGACCATGTAGAGGTCTGGGCCCAATTTGGAAAATTGGGCCATATGTTGGGCTTTGGCCCATTACTTAACTTTTGGGCCTTTGGAGTGTGAGTTGGGCCTTGGACTTGACTCAAGCTAGGTTAGGGGTAAAGTAGTCTTTTACCCCCAAGCATGGACTTATGGTTATGTATTGGAACCCAATTATTAATTGGGTGTTGTTTTGATGATTAACAGCTCGGGAATCTGTCAACCAACAGATGGAGTTTATCCGTAGGACTTCAGCAGTGTGAGGTGAGTTATCCTCACTATACTAAGGGGTTGAAGACACCAATGCCGGCCCATTGGATCTGATATCCTAGTAGTTGGTGATATGCTGAGTATAAATTAGTTATGCGTGCTAGTTGTTATGCCAGTTTGGTAGATCTGTAGGACTACCTGTGTTGCTATCTGATTATCAGTATGTGCATTAGTTATGTTATATGTCGACATGTTATGTGGGATGGGTTGAGGTTGTAATTCCTTGTGCGGTAGCCAACAAACCCTGGAGTATTCCAGATATGAGTTGAGGGCCGGGCAGGGCATGCCAGACTCATACTGAGGACTCAAGGAGCATTCCAGATACGAGTTGAGGGCCGAGCAGGGCATGCCAGACTCGTACTGTGGGCTCAGGTGTAACACCGTAAATTTTCAAACAAAATTTTCATTTAAAAATCACATAATTCTCATAACACGTTTCACAAAAATCCCATTTGAATCATTTACAAAACACAACTCTATAATTATTTAATAATAATCCAGGATCCTCAATTTATAACCCCTTCTCTGGTGTGTACAATCGAGCCGGTGCCTTCCCGAGATTCTGAGAAAAACTTGAAACACATAACACATAACACGGTAAGCACGAAGCAGTTCCCCAAAATACCATGCACATATAATTAGCCACTCGAGGCTATAGCTCTGTAAGACCCTCTGGTCAATGTGTCTCAGTGGGACCCTCCAGTCCCACAACTCTGATGGACCCTCTGGTCCTAACTCTGTGGACCCTCCGGTCCTAACTCTGTAAACTACGGGTAATACACAGCATAAATCACAAATAAATAATGCAGGATATCACGATACACAAATAATCACATAAAACATCTCTATCACACAAAATACTACTCATGGTAGAGTATAGTTAGAAGACTCACCTCGGATGATGAACAGCCCCTATAAACGTTGCTGCTACGTACCGGCCTCTAACTCTGTGCCAAACCCACAATTATCCCAATTAGCAACTAAGTCCCAACTCTCACTCATTAGGTCTAAAGGTAGTCCACTAACCAGCCCATCAATGACCTAAAACCCATTAGGCCCACCAAGGCCCAATAATAAGTGGGCTCTCCCGAGGCCCAACACTCTCACATCGAATGGCAAGCCCAACTCAAGGGCCCAAAGCACATATATATAATCCTCTGGTCCAAGACTCTATTGCAACAAGTCCAAACTCCAGGCCCAACACTCAAGGCCCAAAATGAGACTTAGCCCAAAAGTCCACAGTGAGGTTACGCGGGGCGTACCTCTCTTGGTACGCTCAGCGTACTCACGAATCCATATTGGCCATCGGGGACACTGGGGCAGTACGCGGGGGTACAGGAATTACGCTCAGCGTACTCCCCAGATTCACTCTTTCTACTCATTTGGTCTTAAACAGTTAAGACATTACCTCAAACCCCAGATCTGGACTCCCTAATGGCACTTACTCCATAAAGTCAGTGACTTTAAGCCTATGCATAGCTGGAAAAGTCACAAACACCCAAAACACTCGCTTCCTTATCTCAAAAGCCTCATATCTCATGCATGGCTTGATTCCAACGTCCAAGATTGGATTTTTATGACATAACACCACTAAATATACTCAAAGGGACATATATTAGGCTCTGGAGTTCAACAACTCATAAAGCTTCAAGCTTTGGGACCAAAAACCCTAAAATGGACCCAAAACAAAAACTAGCACAACAATAAGAAAGTTCAAAACTTGATACCTCTAGAAGATGCACCAACAAGAGAAGAACATAGATCCAAAAGCTAGGTGCTCAAGCTATTCTCTTTCAAAGCTCCTTCTTCTTCAAAAGCCAAACATAACAAGTGATCACCCCACTAGATCCACATGAGAAAGCCACCAAGATTCAATGCTTTCTAGAGCTAGATCAACATGATTAGGGCTTGGATCCACAAGCTCCAAGC